ATTTGTTGTTTTAACTGTATACTTGTCATATCGATTAAAAGCACTCCGCTGATCCTACAAACATCAAAGGAAAGCCGCAAAGTCCTCACCTATCGCCTGTGCAACTTACTCGTCTGTCTAAACTTGTATGTATGGAGGATATGTTTTTACTATGAGTTTGCCCGTGAATGCAAATTTATCCGATACTGTATAAACCAAAATCCACCCCTAAATCTTCTTTTAAAAGCTAGAATTAAAAGCAATCCGCTGAACCTAATTTCTCATTTACTAACTCCCAGAGTGCATTTCGCTTCCACGAAGGGATAAATCGTGCGCGACATAAAGCGCGACGGACATAAGCGCGACGAACCTATGAGAAATCACTATCCAAAGGAATGCAAGCACGCCAGCTTAAAGCGATGACGTCACACAATACGTCAACGCTTAAAAACCGGAAGTGATCTTAAAATAACTCGAGAGATTACCTTGAGAATAACGACAATACGGAGGATTGACTTAAGTGTCCTTCAGCCTCTCTCTATGTGAATAATAATTATCCAGGATTACTGAGACGTTTTATCAGAGTTTGAGTCAATTTCTTTTGTACATAAATGATATTTACTGCTTCTGTGTTGTAGAGTTGGGCTTCATACAAGTCAAAACTGACGGAAAACACACACAAAAAAAGAAACCCACACTGAAAAGTCAAAACTGAACCAAAACTTCACGTTAATCAAGTCCCTTCAACATCAAAGCCTTGTTAAATAGAATCAATCAAAACTAATAATAGCTTGGAAACATGGCGACGTTTTCGGTAAAAATTGATGAGGAATACAAGTGTGATCACCATGTATCTTTCGTTTCATCATGTACAGTCATGATGGTTCTTATGGTTATTAACAGCGACTAAGCAAAAAAACTACTAATAAAAAATATACTTGAATTAACAGCAGTAAGTGTCCACGACACTTACAATTCAAATAGTTCCTTAGTTCCCTTTCCAACTTTCCGAAAGCCCTTCTTTATCCGATTAAGCTGCTGCCCTTTGAAAAGGATTTTTCCTCTGGTTAATATCTCCCTTTCCAATGTATCAAACAGTTGCCCAGCATTGATCAGTGGTCCGGTGTTATTCTCAGCCTCAGAAAAACACCAAGCAAGTATATAGATCTCTCTGGCTGTTAATTTCGAAAAACTGCTCTTTAAGAAAGAAACCTGCAGACCTTCGTACAACCGTTCAGTCAGCCTTTTTGCTTCCACGTATCCTCGCAGAAGCATGAACTTTTGTGACTTTGGAAACTGGTGCAAACCACGCTGAAATACGATTTGTTCAATCACATCAAACATTTTACTGTCCCATTTTCTTGCCCTTCCAAGAGACCAAACCACTTGACATAAATGACCATTGTCAAATTGCGCCACATCTCTTGTCAGCAACTCACTTTCAATTTCCTCAACTAGCCTGTTGTCCTGTCTTCGAGCAAAAACAAACGAGTACAGGATAAGAACAAGCTGATGCACCTGAAATATGCAGACATCACGGGTGAAAACCTCATCCCTAACAAGATAAAATACTTTGGCATTTGTCACATCTCTCGTTGCAAAGGACCAAACAATTTGTGATAGTGCAGAATTGTTAAATCCCTCTACCCCACTTGAGGCAAGTTCATTGTCCATGATATCGAAAAGCTGCTTGCCTCCTTTTTTAGCCTTGCTGAATGCCCAAAGTATCTGGACAAGACCGCGTCTTTCCAAGTTAGCTGTTCCACGCCTTAGAATCTCTTCTTCCACTCTGTCAAACAACGTGTCTGCCTTCAACTCCTTCTTTGCAAAGGACCACACAAAGAGAGCAAGGTCACCACTTGCCATTAACAAGAAGTCTCTTGATAGAATTTCTTCCAACAAAATGTGAAAGAGTCCATGAACAGCACAGCGATCTGACTTAGCAAACAACAACAACATTGCAGCAAGTAACTGATTGTTAAAGTTAGATATTTTCAACTGACCGTTACAAATGGATTCTTGTAACGCGAAAGCTATTCCCGAGGCTGTCAAGTCCAGGTGTATGCATCCATTCACAATCTGGCAAATACCTACATCGCCAAAGGCTGTGATACCACGAGACAGAATAGCTCTCTCACAAACTTGAACTAGCTCGTGATTTTTCTCTTCAAGTTTTCCTAAAGCCCACATCACATTTGCAAGATCCCAGGGCAGGCATTTGGTAATGTCTTTGGAGATACTGTCCAGTAATTCCAGGTATGCGCTGTTTAAAGCTTCCCTTGACCTGCCTTTTTCTTGTTTCAAAACTCGTCTCTGGTTTCCGTTTCTTCCAGTGATCTTGGCAATGTTATAAAGCATGGTTGCTCTATTCACAATGCTTACTGAACTCTTGATACTCTCAAACAACTCAAATTGTTCTATGACTGTTTTAAGTGACAATATTTCCTTGTTGATTTTAATATCATCTTCAGATGGGCGCGGTTGAGAAGAAAAGTTAACAACTGATGGTCTTATAAAGTAGCTGCCAAACTCTCTTGGTTCACTTTGTTTTAGAATCTTGGGAGATGACCACGAAGTTTGGGACAAGTTTCTAAACTCTTTAAATGCTCGTGAAGGGAACACTTGAGTCAGAAAACGACCATGTCGCAGGGGATGCAGGCTTATAAACATGGACAGAGCCCTCGTTCCATACATTGTATGCATTGTTACTTGGTAGTTCTTGTGAGTCTAACAAAAGGTTCCTTGCAGTTTTCTTCCTGCCTGTGTTGAAAGCAACAACATTTTAATGTAAGATTTAAAATGAACACGTATTGAAACAAAGGAAGATATCACTTCTGTTTTCATTATCAGTATCACTGATAACAGAGTCACCTATAAATTTCTATGTATGAGATGTAACTACAGCCTTTGGATTTTGTGGTCCAAAGAGGTCAAAACAGCCCTTCAAGCCACCCCACCCACCCCAAAAAGGAAGACAAATGACCCCCTGCCATACAATAACAGGCCCTAAGGGTGTTATCAGGGCAGAGAAAAGTTCAGTGGCCCAGTGGACAAGTGGAAATTAGCCTCAGTAGTCTTGTGAGTCTGAATGAACATGTCAGCTTGATAAATGACAATTTCCAGTCAGAAGCTATTTCAAAACTAATAATAATATTTTCCACAGGGCCGTTCTGAAAACCACTTTATGTGAGATCGCTCCCTGTATAAATATTATTATTATTAATATTATTATCATTGTAATTATTATTATCATTATTATTATTATTATTATTATTATTATTAAACTAAAGATTGCAAGATTAGTTAACCATCAGGTTGAAAGCATGGATTAATTAGGAATCCAAGCATACTTTGTTCGCATTGTCCTCTGACATCCATACTGGCTGCTTCGTTGGCAAGTAATATTTAAGTGGGGGAAAGTGAAAACTGAAATCTACTGGCCCACTGTGCAAGTGGATTTGAATTTTTTTTT